GCAGCGAAGAGCTGCGCTGGGTGTCCCAGGCCAAGGTCCTCCGCAATGGTCCAGAGTTATGTGAGGGGTGGTGGGAGACCAGGTGTGGTCATTCTCTAGAGGACTCCCAAGGGCAGGGGGCACCCCGTGCAGCCGCACTGGGCCTGGAGCAGGCAGGAGAGTGGGTGGGATGCCAGCTCCAGCGACCGAGCAGGAGGCTCTGCTAAGCACAGGATGAAAGTGCACGGGGGTCTGCCCTCAAAAGGATCGCTGTCTATAGGAGGCCAAGCTGCCCAGACCAGCGTGGGCTCCTGGGGAAGCAGAGCTAAGAGTTCCTGCAAGCAGGTGTGGCCTGCCCTGGGTTTAACTTTTGTGCTTGGAGACCCCCTGAAGGAGACTTGGAAGCTGTGACTGTCGCTTGTTCTAGCTTACATACCATTTTTCTTTTTGTCTTTTCAAACTGTCCATTCCCAGCACGTTGTAAGTATTAACCATTTTGAAGCACAACACTTAGAGCAGACTTTTCAGTGTGTCCACTGGAATCAAAATGCATTTGCAACTTGACACTCATCCTGGTCCACTTAGAAAGGACCGAGCAAGCTGCCCCTTCATGGCTAGATGCTCTTATTCCTCCTTCCCCTGGAGCTTCGCCCACAGAAGTCTGTGCAGTGCAAAACGTATTGGGTGGAAAGTTGAGGACATCACAGACAGCCTGTTCTCCGGGGCACGTGATGGGATCTGCGCCTGCCTTCCCCATAGCTGTGCCACCAGGCATGAGGCTTTGGTCCCTGAAGAATGAGCAGAAATGACCTAGAGGCGCAAAGCTGTCCCACTGGGATGGTGGCCTCTCGTCCCCAGAGTGAGGGGACAGATGGGGACAGTGCTCCCAGCCAACCCAAGATCAGTGTGGGCTGGAAAAGAACCCTGTGCTGTTTTAAGCCACTGAAGAGTGGGGTTGTTGATTCCTGCAGCTGACCCTTCTCCCTCCGCCTCTGCTCTTCTCCAGACAGATATGTGTATACATTGAGGCAGTCATTTGTTTTTACGATTATTTTTTTAGTAATCTCTACACCCAACATGGGGCTCAAATTCACAACCATGAGATCAAGAGCTGCATGCTCCTCCAGCTGAGCCCACCAGGCGCCCTGAGGCAGCCATTCGTTTTGATTTGTGAAATCGTAAGACTGAACTTAGTGACAAATTCACCTGGATTGTTGTTCTTGTAGTTACTGTAAGTACTTAATCAGGATGACACGTATGTGTTGTAGATCTTCATAAGTAAACATGGAAGTCAACTTGAACTGGAATGGCATCGCCTAACGAGCTGTCCATCCGTCTTCATGGGAGAGCACGGTTTACAGCTGGAATGAGGGTCCATCATTCCATTTCTTTCTGGTTTTGTCTTCACAGACATAGAGCAGATTAAAAGCTTTGCTCCAGGGGCGCCTGGCTGGCTCAGTCGGTGGAGCAGATGACTCGATCTCAGGGTTGTAGGTTCGACCCCCACGTTGAGTGTAGAGATTACTTAAGAGGGGAGGCGCCTGGGTGGCTCAGATGGGTAAGCGTCCAACTCTTGACCTTAGCTCGGGTTTTGATCTCGGGGTCATGAGTTGAAGCCCACATTGGGCTCCACACTGGGCATGGAGCCTACTTAAAAAAAAAGTTTGCTACAGCACTTAGTCTTTCAAAATCTCTTCATGTGTCAAAAGCCACATGCTAATGTGTGACCATAGGAAAGGACAAGCTGCTCCCCAGTGTGGTCCTCCCTGGACACAGGATTTGGAAAGAGTAGCCCTCCAGTTCAGCCTGGGCACGCCAGCCAGCTGTGAGGAGTGTGGTAGCCCCCATTCTCCAGCCCTTCTGCACATTCGCCTGGGGAGAGAACGAAGGAGAGAGGGCCGGGCTCCAGGTCTCTACAGGGTTTGAGCCCTGTGTGGGGTGTCATCAGAGACCGCTTCTCACCACTCTGCTCTGGCCCCCACCCAGCCCCACCCAGGCCGCTCTCTGGGAGTAACAATGACATTTAAGACAGCAGCTGCAATGGGGATGGCAAGGGTGCACGGTCCACAGTGCAGCCTCAGCTCTGCCAGGGTGTCGCCTCTGTTGGATGGGAAGACAGGGCCTTTCTTATGGAGCATGGGCCATCAGGGTCCCAAGCACCACTGTACTCCAGAGGCAACTCCACAGCCTGCCAGTGCCCATAGGCCAACTCCGTGATCACATGGAGACTAGCAGTGTTCCTCTGCACCAGACTAACCAGCTGAAATGCGGTGCTGTGTATAGAGGAACAAAAATTAGGACGTGTCTAGGACATAACAAGCCTATGCAACAACATTTGAGGGTTTATTACAGGATATAAAGAAGATCTCGATAAATGAAATATACTATGTTCATGGAAGGGAGAACTTCACATACAATTGTACAGATTTCCGTTGTCCCCAAGCTAATATACATTCAAGGCAATCTCAATATTCCAGCTAGATTTCCTTTTAGGAAACCTGACCAGTCTTTCTAAAATGTATATGGAAAAGTAAAGGTCATGAATACCTAAATCACTATTGAAAAAGAGGAAAGGGGTACCTTCCCGTCCACATATTTGGTGTACTGCAAAGCCATTAGAAGGACAAACCCATTCCAGATGTGGTGATGACACCTGGTGGTCTAAGAAAGGATATGTTGCTTAGTCAAAGTGTTGGGAAAAGACACCTCATCTTACGGAGAAAAACTAAGCTGCATTTCTACCTCCATGCATGGTCTTCCAGCTAAAAGGGTATCTGCTAGATGAGTAATACCACCTATGGAATTTGCTTGGGTTCGATCTTCTAGGAGAGTCATCTCCTGAAATCTCCGCATTACAGATCACCAATTCACCCCAACACAGAAACAAAGCACATTTCAACGTGTCTGCTTACAGGCCACAGAAGAATGTGGGGGATACACCGTCCTTCTCCTAGAGCGACACCAGGATGCCTTTGTGACGTTGCAAACAAAACCACAAACCACGCGGGGAAAAAAAAATGATGTTAAGGATTTTTATCCAGATGCCATGGACAAACCCAACAGGCAGAAGGACTTGAAGGAGCCCATAAGCAGATTAACAAAGAGGCTGATGTAAGTCCAAGACCTCCTGCAAATGAACCACAGACAGGAGCTCTCAACGTGCGGCGGCTTGAACGGGCAGTAAACCCACCGGTAATCAGAAAAGGGCAAACTGAAAACACTGAAACCACATTGCAGCCCTTAGGACGGCAGATACCAGAAAGCAGATGATGCCAAGAACTGGGAATACTATGGGGATAGAACCTCTTTTTCATGGTGGGAGTGTGGTCCAGCCTTTCTGGAAAGCAACCCAGAAGGTGCCCCCAGTGGTACCACTCGGGGGGTTCCCAAAGGGCCTTAGGGATGTCCATGCCATTATGGGGGGGCATCTGGGACAGCTGGGGAGTGTCTGGGAGTGTCTGGGTTTATAGGGGTGTGGCTGAGTTCTCTGGGGGCAGCTGGGTTTGGGGGAGTTAGGTTGTATGTGGGTGTCTGGGTTATGTGGGGGCATGTGTAGGTCTTCTGGGGGGTCAGCTGGGTTGTGCAGAGGGTGTCTGGGTTTTGCAGGGAGCCGCTGCATTATCTGAGGGGTGGGAAATTGTAGGCCGCCCAACTGCCTCAGTACGTAGTAGACAAGTAACACCCGCTGGAAGCCAGGGGTGGGCATCTTTCAGAAACATACCTGAATCTTTAAAAGCACAGAGACCCTTAAGAAAGGTGAAGAAAGGCAAGGTGCGGAGCGTGACTGGCTCACCCTGGTGGCTCAGGACCTGTAAATATGGTGCCCAAGACATAAGAATTGTTGAATGAAGTTAAAACTGCAACCACGCTAAATATTTCACAAAGATAGCACATGTATATCCCATAATAGTGGGAAGGGGACCAGCCATGAAAGAAAATGAAAAAATGGTGAACCACAGAGGGTCTTTCAGGCAGCGGGGCTTGAAGGTGGTGACTGCGCTCTGCGCCTGAGACCAAACCCAGAGAAGTGTGTGCGCAGTTGTTCCGGAGGACAACAGCGGGAATGGTGGGGCGTGGGGCGTGGGAATGGAGGGGATTAAGGTCAGGAAGGTGGCAGGGAGCCCGGGCCAGACGCACCCCAGAGCCTACCCCGGAGGCTGGCACAGTCCAGCCCCCAGCGTGTCTGTCGGTCGAGGCAGAGGGAAGAATGAGTGAGGTGGGGAGGCGGTGCAGGGCAGAGTAGGAAGCGGGGCGCGGGAAGTGATGGGGGGCCCTGGCGCTGGGGGATGGGAAAGACGCCCCACAGTGTCCGCGGGCCGTTGCCCCAAACTCGGGGGGTGCTGCCCAGTCCCCCGCGTGCGTCCGAGCGCCCACCGCAGCGTCCAGGCTCCGGGCAGAGAAGTGGTGGAGGCGGCAGGAGGCGGGACGAGGAGACCCCTCCTCGCCGGGGCGGCTCCCGCGACCACTAGCCGGGCGAGGGGGCCCGCGCTCGGCCTCCCCCACCCTCTCTCCATCCTGAGGAAGAGGAGGAGGGGCCAGTCATTGTTAATTCATTTTATTTAATTTAAATATTTTTTGCAAAGTCATCGCCGGCGCCGCATCTGCGTGGCGGGGGGGGGG